CTGAAATGCCTTCAGGGTCATTCTTCTATTGTCTTGATGAGTAACACCTGGCCAATCCATACTAATTTCCTTATCAAAGGGTCATTTGGCCACACCCTTGGTGTTAGCTCCCAACACATTTCTCACTTTTTACAGTACACACAAACTGAGAATTTTCCAAATCTTTAAGTTCTGCTTTCTTATTGATTAAAAATCCATCTTTGATTCATTTCCCCTTTCTCATGTTTTACTATAAAAATTCAAGAGAATCTAAGCCAGACCTTCAACACTTTGTTTAGAAGTTTATTCAGCCAAATATGCCATTTCATTACTCATAAGTTTTACCTTCTACAAAAACAGTAGGCCAATAACACAATTCAGACAAGTTGTTTGCCACTTTATGACAAGGATCACCTTTCCTCCAGTTTCCAATAGCATATTCCTCATCTCCATCTGAGACCTTATGAGAATAGCCTTTACCATTCTGTTCATAACCATGTATGTATTCTCTAAGAAGATTCAGCCTTTCTCTACAGCTCTTTTCTTCTGGGCCCTCATCAGAATTACCCTTTATGCTCCATTCATGCCAATGAAGGCTTTTTCTAGCATAGATCTCACTTCCAGCCTCTATCTACTGGCCAGGTCCAAGAGCTACTTCAACATTTTTAGGTATTTGTTATAACACCCCACTTCTTGGTACCAATTTTGTTGTAGTACATTCAGGCTGCTACAAAAATTACTGTACACTAGGTAGCTAACAAGCAACAGAAATTTATTTCTCACAGTTCTGGAGACTGGGAAGTCTGAGATTAGGGTACTGGCAGACTTGATGTCTGGCGGGGCTCATTTCCTGATTCATAGATGGAGCCTTCTTGCTTTGTCCTTACCTTCCAAAGGCCCCAGCTCCTAACACCATCGCATTAGTGACTAGATTTCAACATAGGAATTTTAGGGAAACACAAACTTTCATAGCATAGTGCAATGGAATTTTTGTATGACAAAAGATACCATAAGCAAAGTCAGGAGACGCACCAAAAACTTAAACAAGATATTTGTAACAAGTATAATCAGTAAAGGATTACTATCAAGAATATATATATATATATATATTCTATAAATCACTGAGGAAAATAAAAGCAAACAAGGAAAAAAATGAGCAAATGTTAATCATATCCAACTCATAGAATAGAAATCTGAATGTCAACTCTATTAGTATTTAGGGAAACTGAAATTAACAAATGAAATACCCTTCAAAGTGTTAGTGAATATGTAGAGAAAATGAAACTGTGGAATACATTGTTGGTTAGAAAGTAAGTTGGTACAAATCTTTTGGAGGTCAAATTGGCAGTATCTAAAAGCTTTGTATATTTGCTACTCTAATTGTATATATACACTTGTGAATATAATTGTATATATATTTCTTGCTCATGTGTACAAGCAAACATGTTTAGACAAATTCATTGCTGTGTTTATATTGGTGAAAAAATGGAAAGAACATTAATGTTCATCATGTGAGACTGCATAAACACGTTACAGAATACATTGAACTACTCTACTTCAGTTAACTATGAATGTATTCTCTCTCTGTATCAGTGTGGATACATTCAGAAAACACATTGCTGGATAGGCAAGTTACAAATGAATTCATATGAAATGGTAATATGATATTTATAGACATACACTTATTTTTGAGGTTGCATGATCCAATTTCCTACCTCTAAGAGAGATTTTCTTTCTTTCCTTGCTAAACTTGAAGATTCATTATTTTATATTTAGATCTCAGAATGTTGGGGTAAAAACTCTCCTAGAAATTATCTAATCTCCCCCTTTAAATGTTTTAAAAATGGACTTTTAATTTTAGGATAGCTTTAGATTAATAGAAAAATTATAAAGATAGTACAGGGAGTTTCCATATAACCTACACCTAGTTTCTCCTATTAACATCTTACATTCATTTTTTTGTTTTAGGCAGAGTCTTGCTCTGTCATCCAGGCTGGAGTGCAGTGGTGTGCTACTCACTGCAACCTCCGCCTCCCAGGTTCGAGCAATTCTCCTGCCTCAGCCTCCCAAGTAGCTGGAATTACAGGCACCCACCACCACACCTGGCTAATTTTTTTTTTTTTTCTTTTGAGACGGAGTCTGGCTCTGACGCCCAGACTGGAGTGCAGTGGCGCCATCTCGGCTCACTGCAAGCTCTGCCTCCCGGGTTCACACCATTCTCCTGCCTCAGCCTCCCGAGAAGCTGGGACTCCAGGTGTCTGCCACCACGCCCGGCTAATTTTTTTTTGTATTTTTAGTAGAAACGGCGTTTTACCATCTTGGCTAGGATGGTCTTGATCTCCTGACCTTGTGATCCACCCGCCTCGGCCTCCCAAAGTGCTGGGATTACAGGCGTGAGCCACCATGCACAGCCTAACATCTTACATTAGTATAGCACATTTGTTACACTTAATTAACTAATGCTGATATAGTAATTAAAGTTTATACTTTATTCAGAGTTTCTGTTTTTAACAAATGTTCTTTATCTGTTCTAGGGTCCCATGAAGGATATTACATTGAATTTATTGGTCATGTCTTCTTAGGCTCCTCTACATTGTAGGCATTTCTCAGACTTTGCCTTTTTTTGATGACCTTGACAGTTTTGAAGGGTACCGATTAACTATTTTGTAGAATGTTCCTCATTAGAAGCTGTCTGATATTTTTCTCATTTTTAGACTGAGTTTCAGTGAGGAAGACTATGAAGTACTATTCCTATCACATTATATCAACTGCACATATTATTATCATGATTTATCCCTTTCGATGTTAACCTTGATCACCTGGTACACTAGGTGTACCACAACTGTGAGTTTCTCCAGAACTGTGAGAAATAAATTTCTGTTGCTTGTTAGCTACCTAGGTAGGATTTGCCACAGTTTCTTAGCTGCAGAGTTGCTTTTCTGCCCTCTCCCTCTTTTCCATGCTGTATTCTTTGGAAGGAAGTCACTATGTGCAATCCACATCAATATCTTTCTTAAAGGGAGAAATTGAAGCTCAGAAAAATAAAGTGATTTGCCCCAGATCATGGAGTTATGTGGTCCACAGTATGATTTGGGCCACAGTTAGAGGATTTTCTTAATGCATAATTTAATAATTTAAATTCAATCAATTTAATTGTAAAAATAACCAATGTAATTCAATTAATTTTATTTCACTTAAATCATACATTTAGTTATATGTAAAATTAAGATTAAGGCAGTGGATTTTGCACATATAAAATCTACTTTCCCCTCCTTCTAACAACCGTTCCTCTTGAGGCATATAGAATTATTAGATTCTATGTTAACTCACACAGATCTGGCTCAAAATAAAGCAAAATTTGCACTTGTTGGAACTGTAGAAGAAACTAGAATCAGTGAGCAGGATATAAAGGTTTGTGTGAACCAGAAAGCTACACTGAAAGCCTGCCCTTAACATTTGCCCTTCAGAGGAAATTTCTGGGTCCTGTATCTTTGAAACATGGTTCGGAGGAGGACCAGAGGTACCTGCTCTGGTGGGGTGTCCTCTTGGGCTCCTGGATTCCTTGGCTCTTGGGGATAGGCACTGTAGATGAAGGGCCAGAGGGATGCTCTAAAGTGCTGGGTTACAACTCAGGAACCCCAGATATCCATATCTGAGGGTGGTTCTTTAACCAGCCCTGGGGTTAAAGTATCTATTTGACTGGGGCTAAAGCCCTGGGGTTCAGTGAGAAGATAAATGATTGCGAGGTGGTGTGATAAAGTACAAGAAGCAATGATGAACAAAGGAAGCAATAAAATGTGGAACACAATTTCAAAAAGTATTTGCCATAAAATAACAAGAACAGTTGTTTTTGTGTTTTGAGTTTCAAAAGAAGCTAGAAATAAAATAGTCCACAGTAACTTGGAAACCTTGAGGCAGAGGAAGTTTGGAGGAAGTTACTGTTTGCTAAGGTCCTTGTCTTTTTCTGTAGAGAAAAGAAATACTGATTACCTTTCACTTCGTCAGCATAGTATAAATGTAAGAATGTATGCTAAAATAAACACAAAAAGCATAACTTCGACACTGGAAAGTGAAAAGAAAGAAGTCTATAAAATTGATCTGTTTAATAAAACAGTAAAAAGAAAAAAATAAGAATGGCAAAAAATAAAATGTAAAGGTGGCAAAAATCAGTGTCCACACACACACACATTTTTTGAGACAGAGTCTGGCTCTGTCACCCAGGCTGGAGTGCAGTGGCTCTATCTAAGCTCATTGCAATATTTCCCTTCCAGGTTCAAGTGACTTTCCAGCCTCAGCCTCCCAAGTAGCTGGGATTACAGACACTCACCACAACACCAAGCTAATTTTTGTTTTTTAGTAGGGATGGGGTTTTGGCATGTTGGCCAGGCTGGTCTCATGTGATCTACCCATCTTGGTCTCCCAAAGTTGTGGTATTACAGGAGTGAACCACTGCACCTGGCCAGTGTAAATATGTTAATAATTATATAAAATAGATACAGGTTAATCTCACTTTTCTAATATTGAATTCAACAATCTCTGTTTGGACTAAAAAGTAAAATATAATTAAGTGTTGTTTATAAACATACCTTAAAATGGTATGGAATGATTAAAAATGAAAAGAGAAAAAATAGTATATTAATTTTTTAAAAGTCGATGTAACAAAATTAATAATACAAATATTAGTAGAATATGAATAGAATATTCAGCAAAAAAAGTATAAAGAAAAAAGACAATGCATAATAATAGGTGGTAGCATTACAAAATGAAGAGGAAGCCTGGGTGCTGTTGCTCACACCTGTAATTCTAGCACTTTGAGAAGCCAAGGCAGCAGGATCGCTTGAGCCCAGGAGTTCAAGACCAGCCTGGGCAACATGGCAAAACTCCTTTACAAAAAAACACAAAAAACGAGCTGGGCGTTGGCACATGCCTGTAGTCTCAGCTGCTCAGAAGGCTGAGGTAGGTGGGAGGATCATTTGAGCCTGGGAGGTCGAGGCTACAGTGAGCCGTGATCATACATCACTGTACTCTAGCCTGGATGACAGAGCAAGATTATGTCTCAAAAAAACAAAACAAAACAAACCCCACCAACACAACAACAAACAGAAATATCCCTCTGAGATCTCAGGAACTGATAGATCAAAGAGGTCAAACTAAGGAACTAATTACTCTGATGAATTGTGAAAGTAGTAAATGAGACTGTCTTGTTCTGCAGTTCAAGATATGGTGCCATCTTCAATTCACTTTCCAGTGTGTGTCATGCTTTTCCCCTGTATTTAAGCACATATTTTCAGTTTTTCAAACTCATCATGAGTTCTCTTCTCTATGGGCCTTTATACAAGCTCTTCTCCACCTGGATCTTTCTCCTCCCCAAGCCTTTTCTTGGCTAATGGCTCCCATTGCCCCTCATCCTTCTCCTTAAGTGGCATGTGAAATTCTGTGTTTTAATTGCCTGTTACTTTTTTTTTTCTCCCCTACTAGGCAATAAACTTTGGAGGACTACGGCTATGCCCTTCTCTTCATTGCAGCACAGTGCCTGGCACGTGGTTTACTTCTTGAAGAAATAAATTAGTGAAGGAATGAGTTATGTAAAAATGAAATATAACAGATGGAGGGATTAATTCTACCTAAGGAAAAGGCTTCATAGAAGAAATGACCTTTGAGAAGAAACTTGGAAAATGAGAAAGGACAAAGGTTGTTCCTGGTAGAGGGAACAGTGTGAACACACACCTGGAAGCTAGAGAGGGCGCATCATGGCAGGGAATTTGAGTAGTCAAAATGCTGGAGCATTAGTGGCAGAAATGAAGCAGAAAATAGAGATTGGGATCTTTACATAAACCCTGGAATGCCATGCTGAGGAGTGTAAACTTTAATCTGCAAGTGAGGTACGTGTATTACAGATTGAAACATTAGGATGATGGTGGTAGTTATTAGAGCTATTCACTGAATATTGCTAGTTCCTCACACTTCTAAGCCTATATTAGGATTACATACTTCTCTGTATACCTTTGAGCTGAGTCATGGTCACATGACTTGGACCAATGCTAATGAGAAATGAGTGCAAGTGACATGTGCCAGGTCTGGGTAGAAACTGTAAGAGACACTGTTCGATTTGTCATTTTTCCTTTTTCTGCCTTAGCTTTTATGGGAGCATGAGACTGGGTCCTTGAATGAGAAAAACATAGAGAAGACTCTCAGCTATTCTTTCAGGAACATGAATAAGAAGACACAAGCCTTTTTTGTTTTACGACACTGAGAATATTGGGTGTGGTGACTCATGCTTGTAATCCCAGCACTTTGGGAGGCCAAGGCAAGAGGACTGCTTGAACCCCGGAGTTCGAGACCAGCATGGGCAACAAATGTCTCTATCAAAATTTTTTAAAATGAGCCAAGTGTGGCAGGCTGAGGTGGAAGGATTGCGTGAGCCCAGGAGTTTGAGGTTACAGTGAGCTGTGATCGTGCCACTGCATTCCAGCCTGGGTGACAGAACAAGATCCTGTCTCAAAAAAAAAAAAAAAAAAAAGTCACTGAAATACAGTGGTTATTTGTTGTTGCAGCATAACCTTGCCTGTTCTGACTAATGTGCATGTTTTAAAATCTGTCACTAATTAGACTGGAGACCAGAAGAAAAATTAGGAGGCCATTTTAATTGGTCAGGCATTGTTAGTAGGAAAAGTGAAGAATGGACAGTGAGTATGAGGACACAGACTGCACTGATTGTATTTACTTCTGTGTTTCTGGTGCATGCTACAATTCCTGGAATAAAAGAGAGTTAGAGGGAGAATCCTTGTGCACACGCTTTCATAAGGACTTGTAGTGGATTGTTTAGTGTCCCCCAAAAGTTAAAGATATGTCCAAGTTTTAACTTCTGGTACCTATACATGTGATTTTATTTGGAAATAAGGTCTTTGTAGATATAATTATTTAAATATTGTGAAATGATCGTATCCTACACTTAGGATAGACCCTAAATCCAATGGCTAGTGTCCTTCTAACAGAAAGGAGGAGATTTGACATAGAGCACACTGGGAGACACAGGGGCCAGGGACATGTTAAGACAGAGTCAGAGAATAGAGTTACACAACTGTAAGCCAAAGGGCACCAACAATTGCCAGCAGCCATCAGAAACCAGGAGAGGGGTAAGAAATGGATTCTCCCTTAGAGCCTCCAGAAGAAACCAACCCCCTCAACATCTTGATTTTAAACTTCTGGCCCCTAAGAATGTGAGAGAATAAATTTCTATTGTTTAAGTCACCAAGCCACCAAGTCGGTAGGTTTCTTTTTTTTTTTTTTTTTTAGAATTGGAGCCTCCCTATGTTGCCCAGGCCGATCTCAAACTCCTGTGCTCAAGGGATCCTCTTACCTTGGCCTCCCAAAGTACTGAGATTACAAATGTGAGCGACCGGCCCTGGCATAGTTGTAATTTTTTATAGCAGCCTCAGAAAATGAATATAGGACTTTCACTCCACTTATAAGGTGAGATAGCATTACAGTAATGTTTCCAATTACATCTCTGTCTTCATTTTATACTCCACCTTTTTCACAAAATAAGAATTATTTATCTGATTTGTGGAATTCGCTCATAGCAGCTAATATTCTTCTGGGCTGTGTTTTAGGCTAGCCTATAGGGTGGATATGTTCTTCTACTGATCTCCTCCATGAAGTAAGCAAGCCTGATTGCAGATTATGTAAGCTAACCTGATTGATGATCCCAAGCCTGTTTTCTAGGAACTTTCTAGGCTCAAGGGTTGCAAGACAGCACACAATTCCCCATGTAGTTGACTGGATATATTTGCTGCAAACTAAATATGCCTGTAAAGACTCTCCTTTTAGATCGCAAATGTGGGCTTGTGTGTGTGTGTGTGTGTGTGTGTGTGCGCGCGCGCGCCCGTGTGCGTGTGCACATGTGTATTTGTGTGTATGCTGGTAGGGAGCCTCATTTGGGTTGCACGTACTCTAATTTCTATCTGAAGAATGGATCTATCTCTGAGTATCAAACTTAGAAGGAGCAGAGGGTTGTCACTGGCACTTTACAGAGCCATCTCCAAGAGAAGCTGTTCATTCAACATTTGCGCAAATGAATAAAGATAAAAAGGACTTGATTCAATAGATCTTACAGAATTTGACTTAATAAGACTGGGTGGTACTTACTGTTGGAGTTGAAGAAGACAGAGTGTAAGATGATGCTGAGGTTTCACACTTGGTGTGTGAAGATAATTGTGTTCTTAACTGAGTATTTGTGTATAAGAACAGAAAGAATATAGAGGAGTTTATTTTAGTTTGGAATGTAGTTGACAGAGAGCTTTGTAAGTCACCTAGATGAGGATTTCCAGGAGATGGTTTGAAATGCTGTTTGGAGCTCAGGCTGGAATTGGAAATATGGATTTGGAATGAGATAATACGGAAATGTCTATGCAATGGAGCACTTTACTTTTGAGGACTGAATAGAGGCAAATATTTCAGAAAGGGTAACCAAAGAAGTTTTCATAAACTTTGGAAGAAAACCAAGAAAAAAATGGCATTTCAGAAGTCAGAAAGGAGAAAATTTCAGGTAGGAGGAAGTTTTAAATTGTATCAAGTGTTGCTGAGACATTCAAGAATTAAAACCAGCCGGGCGCGGTGGCTCAAGCCTGTAATCCCAGCACTTTGGGAGGCTGAGGCAGGCGGATCACGAAGTCAGGAGATCGAGACCATCCTGGCTAACACGGTGAAACCCCGTCTCTACTGAAAAATACAAAAAAACTAGCCGGGTGAGGTGGCGGGCGCCTGTAGTCCCAGCTACTCAGAAGGCTGAGGCAGGAGAATGGCGTGAATCTGGGAGACGGAGCTTGCAGTGAGCCGAGATCTGGCCACTGTACTCCAGCCTGGGCGACAGAACGAGACTCTGTCCCAAAAAAAAAAAAAAAAAAAAGAATTAAAACCAAAAAGAGGTAGAATTCCATTATGTATTTTTTTTCCCCAGATTTATTTACAGAAAAGGCAGTTTGAATAAAGTGGCAAAAAGCAAACTAAAAATTATCTTTTCTAGTTGCTACCAAGTTGCTAGAGAGAAAGTCAAGGGAGAAGCAAAGTTTTTTGAAAACAGGGAACCCTGAGTGTGAATGTAATGGGTGTTGGACAAAGCTGGTTACATGAGCTCTGTGAAATCACGGAGTGTGGGTTAGGTCCAGAAGAGGGAATTTGTGAGCTGGGGAGGAGGCATATGATAAAAGAAACAGGCATTTATTGAGCATCTAGTATGAGCCAGAAGGTTTTACTTGTTGAAATTGGGTAATGAGGTACATGCAGAAGCCATTAACCAAGATAGAAAATCATGGTGAAAAAAACTGGTCTTTAAGGTATTGGTAAGAACATGGTGAAAGGACTAATTAGAGGGCCTGGGCTGAGTAGCCATGGATGTGAAGTTGGCCGGGAAGAGCAGTCAGTGGTCTTGCTGACTCTGAGGGGTTGAGGGGCTGGAGGTCACAAGGAGGATGAGTTTCCATATATGAGTCATGAGTACAACACCACATACTACTTCAATCTCTTATGAAGGTCTACTTCATATTCAGTTAGTTGTGATGCTGAAGATACAGCCCATCAACCTTAAATTCCATCAATTTCAAGTCTCACCATTATTTTATACATTACTAAGGAAGAGAAGAAAAAAAACAACTTTATATGAATTGATCACAGCAACCTCTTACTGCTTTGAAATGTCTCTCAGCTCTTCCAGGGGTTTGGCAATTTGTCCTGCCCCCAGTTGCCTTCCTTGCCTTGTGATAAGCAGTCATTTTGCACACACCTCAGTAACAAACTATGACATCATCTTCTTGTGAACATCTTCTTTTTTAGCTCCTGTAAAGCACTTGTTATTCCTTTATAAGAAAATATGGAAGCATAGTCATTCTTCTTCTCCTACAATGAATATTTTCTGCTCAGTTTTTATGTCTTTGTACATACACAATAGACTGTTTATTTCACTTATGTCAAATTTATACCCCTCTGCTCTGTTTTCTGTGTCTTTCCACATTCTTGAAATCTTTTATCTAAATGTCAGATCATAGTTAAATTCAGTGCTGTAGTACTGATAGATTAGTCCATTTTCTGTTGCTTATAACAGAATATCTGAAACTGGGTAGTTTATAAAGAAAAGGAATTTATTTCTTATAGTTATGGAGGCTGGGAAGGCCAAGATTGAGGGGCTGTATCTGGTGAGGGCCTTCTTGCTGGTTAGGACTCCGAAGAGTCATGTGGTCATGCAGGGCATCACTTGGTGAGGGGACTGAGTGTGCTAACATGCTGGCTCATGGTCCAATCACCTCTTAAAGGCCCCACCTCTCAATATGCCACATTAAGTTTCAACATGAGTTTTGGAGGGGACATTCAAACCATAGCAACCAGGTTGTACATCATTCAATAGAGATGACGACATTCGTATGAACAGGTGTGACCAATGCTGTACATACCTCAGCAATGGCAACTACATCATGACGGTGCGTCGATGACAGGAATTGTAAAATGCAACTCCCTGGAATGTAACACTGCATTCCAATTTCAGAGATGTTAAATGTGAAAAAAAAAATGTGTCTTAGTATTGCTGAAATATAAAAATTAAATTTTACAGAAATATGGTAATTGAAATTTACAGTTAAACTTCAACCTTAATTATGACTACTCTTTGCTACCTAGCTTATTTTTAGCATTCCTAACAGATACTGTGTGAAAACTGCTTTGAGTCTTGACTTTTCTCATAGTCTTTGTTATCCCCTGAAGGAGGTGTGAAATGCCCAAGAAGCCAGTGCTGTGGGAAGGGGAAAAATGAAGTCTTGTGGGTTTTGCATCCAATAACTCAAACTGGTGTATGTATCTCCATCAGACAATGGTAGGTATTTTTCCTTCGTAAGTAAAACTGGGTCTGCTTTAATATCTGTGAATTATTTTTCTTAATCCTAGGGAAGGGAAAAGATGCCATACCATTTTCTGAAGATAAAAATCATTCCTAGAATTGTAGTGCCAGAGGATCTCAGAAAACATCTAGTTCTAGAGTGTCATGTTTACAGATTGAACGACTAGTTAATGCAAGTCACATGTGACAAGCCATGGTCGAGTGTGTTATTCTTTGATGTGGTGGGAGAAAACAAACACAGGATAAGCCCCCAAACTAGAGTTTTTAGTAAGTAAAAAATTGTGCTTAGTAGACATGGCTGTTAAAGCCAGTCAGGTGTTCTTTACTGGATATTACATATTCCCAAAAACAAATCCTCTCCCTATCTCTATATTCTGCCTTCCATCAGTCACACCTAGCTCTTGTCATTTAATTTTGCTTTGCCTTGTTTTTGTCCCTTGTTGGGTCAAGGTTAGTTTGTTCTGCAGAAACAACAAATGCCTGGATTTCCCCCTCTTCAGAGCTCTGGGGTGAGTTAAATCCACAGATGTTTATGAGTGGTGACAATCCCTGTTGGCGGATGTTGTAGCAATACTTTGAGAACTGGCTATACTGAATGATGCCAGCTGAAGGGGAATGCTAGGAATTTGCTTTCATTTGGATCAGACATTTGAACCAATTGAAGAATGGCTCCCACTTTTTTTTTTTTTTTTTTTTTTTTTTTTTAACTCTTATAAGCCTTTATGAGGCCCAATTTTGCTTGTGCAGTCTGAGAACATTTTTTGCTTTCATCCGATCTGGCTGGGCATAGGGGAGTGGAAGACAGTTGTTCAAAAGGAAGCTCTTTGTACATACTGACTCTCAGATCTGTTTCATAAGAAAATTTCCCGTAGGAATTCTAGGAAGAGAAACAAATGGTTTAGGCAGAGAGCATTTGGTCTATTAAACATTCTGGTGGCTGGTTCTGTGGCCAGCAGGGCAGCCAAGCCTAAGGAATTTCAAGGGACACAGCCCTTTTTTGAATTGGAGCCCTATGTCTGGCCACAGTGGTAATTGTTTCACATCAGCAATTTAGTATACTGTGCTATAGGGTTGCAGGGGGGTGGGCAAGAGGGGCTTCAATGTCTTCTTTTGTTAGAAATAGGCTAATTTCTAGTACCTATTCCAAAAGGTTACAATTAGAAAGGATGGTGCAACAGAGCTTGAGAAAGAAAACACAGGGGCACCCATCTCCTTTTCATTATAAATTGCTTCCCTTTCCCTGATTCTGTAGTTGTCAGATGCTAAATACTTGTCATCTTGGGATTCTCTTTTGCTGCACAAGAACGTAGCCTAACCTAACTGTGGGTTGCGGATATCAGAATGCTGTAGTCTAAACAGCTGGCATGGGAAACAGGCATGGAAGTGGAGGGTGGTAGGGATTTGAACAAAGCCCAAACTTGCCTTGGGTTAACTTGATTTACAGGAATCAACAGGACCTGGAAAAACTCCAAGCCACGAAGCCTTTGTTTGGAAAGTTTTGCAGGATAAAGGCTAGCCAGATCTAAATAAAGCTTTTCCATCAGGGTTTCAAAACAAAATATTGAAAAAAACAAAGGGTGCCTTTATCTTTCCTTGCTACTGGCCAGGTTTTAAGTTCAGCAGAGGACTAGAAAACTGGATGTGGGAAAAAGATGTAATCGATTTCTTTGAACAACTCAAGAATGGATCCCATCCTGGAACACATAAACACTGCAGGGTTGGATTATCTAAAGCAAATTAGTTGTTTTTTTGTGATGTTTTTATTGTGGTTTTAATATTTGTAGGACTCACACCATAAGTTGGGGCAATGTCAAGCTGACACACAAAGCATCAGTGACTTAGAAAAGCTATACTGGTGGTGTGTGTATGCATCCTGTATTCCTTGATGCCACCTCTAGCATGGCCACCAAAGGAAGTCTGAGTCTCAGTTCCCTCCTCTGTGGAATGGTGATGCAAAAATAATAATTTTACCAAAAGCCAAGCAAAAAAATGGTAAGTAAATGTCAACTGTAAAGGTTTAGGACTTTGAACAGTGTCTGTGTCTTAAACACCTTGGTCTCTCCCCCAAACACCGATTTCATCTACAGTAATCCCCCTCTATCTGTTGTTTTGTTTTCTGTGGTTTCGGTTACCAGTGGTCACCCTTGGTCTGACAATATTAAATGGAAAATTCCAGAAGTAAAACATTTGTAAGTTTTAAATTGCATGCCATTGTGAGTAGTGTGAAGAAATGTCATACTATCCTTCTGGGATAGGACTTACCCTTTTGTGCAATGTATTCACGCTATATACACTACCTACTGTGCTACCCACCTGCTAGTCACAATCACCATCTTGGTTATTAGATGGAAAAAACAGCATATACAGGGTTCAGTCCTCTCCGTGGTTTCAGGCATCCACTGGGGGCCTTGGGATATGTAACCCACGTATAAGAGGTGACTACTGTATTCATGCATCCAACAATATTTACGGAACCAAAAAACACACAGTAGCTACTCGGTATTTGTTGAATACAAATGTTTTATGACAAAGCATCATTATTATTCTTTGTAGCAGAGGTTGGCAAACTACAACCCACATTCCTCTTTTTGTAAACAAAATTTTATTGGAATACAGCCACACCCAGGATTGACTATGGCTTTTGTGCTGTAACAGCAGAGATGAGTAGCTGTGAAAGAGAATTTATGGATTGGAAAGTCCAAAATATTTAGCATCTGGCCTTGGTGGAGAAAATCTGCAAACCCCTGTACTATAGCACTAACCTAAAAACATGTGACACCCTTCCCAAACTCCTCTACTTTACCGTAAACAATGTCTCCATGAATATTCTGGAATAATATTTGTCAAAGTAGGCTCCAGGGCATGCTTGTTTTACAGGCTGCCCCTTCCTGGTTTAGAAAGTTTAGAAAATAGACATATCATGTATACTATGAAGTCTCAAAGTTAAAAGAAGAATGTGTGTAATTTTGATTCAGTGTTTCCAAATTCATGTGACCCTATTAATCCTTTTTTTGTTTTTCACAAATTAATGTTTTGTAGAAGGAAGTTGCCACATAGGAAATATTGGTAAACAGAATGTATTTTGTGGGCTAACTCCAGAAAATTGGAAATGACTGCCTAGTGTGTTGTGTTGAGAAGGATCATGAGGTACTGTCATAGTATGGTGGGATAGAATACAACAAACAATTACATAAATCAACCATGGCATGTGTGCTGAGAGTTTGCAACCACTCGTTTAGACCTTACTGAAAGTACTTTAAAATGTGAGTCCACATGGTCTATACATTGCTGCATATGAAGTGGGACTTCAAAGTTGCTTTTCTGGTGAAGCTTATAACCTAGTTATGAAGAAATTTCACATAGAATTTCAGTGAGGGTAATTGTCTTAACTTCCAGGAGAACTTAGAAGATAACATTAAATTGATTATATATGTGAACATGATTATTATACATCATTCTGCTTCTGGTATTCCTATTATGCATATGTTATACCTTTTGTAGTTGTTCCATAGTTCTTGGATATTCTGTCCTGTTTTTTCAGTGTTTTCTTTCTTTCCTCTTCAGATTGGGAAGTTTCTACTATTGTATTCTCAAGCTCAGAGATTCTTTCCTTAGCCATGTCTAGTCTACTCTTGAGACCATCAAAGACATTCTTCATTTCTGTTACAGTACTCTTGATCTCTAGCATTTATTTTTGATTCTTAGAGTAACCATCTTTCTGCTTATTTTACCCATATGTCTTTGCATGTTTTCTGCTTTTTAAATTAAAGTCCTTAACATAGTCATAGTTGTTTCACATCATGATCTGGGCTTGGCACAGTGGCTCATGCCTGTAATCCTAGCATTCTGGGAGGCTGAGGCAGGAAGATTGCTTGAGGCCCGGAGTTCAAGACCGGTCTGGACAACATAGTGAGACCCTGTCTGTACAAAAAATTTAAAAATTAGCTTGCCATGTGGCATACACTTGTAGCGCCAGCTATTTGGGAAACTCAGGTGGGAGGATTGCTTCAGGCCAGGAAATTGAGGCTGCAATGAGCTGTGATTGTGTCACTGCACTCCAGCCTGGCAGACAGAATGAGACCTTGTCGGGGGGGAAAAAAAAAAACCTCCGTCTAGTAATTCCAACATCTCTGCCATATCTGAGTCTCATTCTGAGGTTTGCTCAGTGTCTTCAAATTGTGTCTTTTGCCTTTTAGTATACCTTATAATCTTTTCTTAAAAGCTAGACATGACATACTAGGTCAAAGTAATTCCAGCAAATAGACCTTTAGCAATGTGGTGTAAGAAGTCTGTGCCCCTGGGCTGGGCTGTGAACCTCTTAAGTGCTTTTCAGTGCTCTCCTTCCCCTTAGGTGGGACAGGATGGCTAGAGGGGGCTGGAGCTGGGTTTTTCCCTTACTCGGGGTTGGTTAGGCTTTGAAATAACCCATTAAGGTAGGCAATGGTAAAATAGCTATTCTTGAGAGCAGACCTCATTAAGATGCACAGAATGCTTTGGCATATTTTAAAATGGCTCCCTTTCCCCTCCCCCTGCAGGAAGTTTCAGTGGATTTCTCTCCAGCCTTCATTGTGAGAACCTAGAGATCGTGGAGAACTCACAAAAGCATGAAGTTGCCCCTATGAATGGCCCCTCTGGAGTTTTTAACTCTCAGACCTGTCCACACCAAGGCTTCAGCAACTCTTCAGTTACAGCTTAGGTTTTCCTAACCTTTCCTGTGGAGGTTTCTGCTCATGGAGTTCTGCTCTGGTAAGTTATTATTCTCTGTAACCAGCTGTCTGTCTCTCCAGCTTTGAGGGCAGCAGTTTGATCTGACCTCACTTCTCTTGACAGATCTAAGAAAAGTTATTGATTTTCATTTTGTTCAGCTTTTTACTTGTTGTTAGGACAGAGTGATGACTTCCAAGCTTCTTAACATGTCAGACCAGAAATGGGAAGTCTGCATCATTCTGTTTACCTTCCGGGGCCCTAAAAACATAACAAAGCAAATTTCTTGTCAGAATCTGTGTGTCAATGATATGGTTTGGATCTGTGCCCCTGTTCAAATCTCATGTGGAAATGTAATCCCCTGTGTCGGAGGTGGGGCCTGCTGGGAAGTGATTGGATCACGGGGGTGGTTTCTCACGGTTTTACACCATCTCCCTTGGTGCTGTCATCCCATAGTGAGTCCTCATGAGATATGGTTGTTTTCAAGTGTGTGACAGGTGCCCCTTCTCTCTCTTGCTTCTTTTCTAGCCATGTGAAGAGATGTTCTCCTTTTACCTTCTGCTATGATTGTAAGTTTCCTGAGGCCTCCCAAGAAGTTGAACAGATGCCACTGTGCTTTCTGTACAGCCTGTGGAAGTGTGAGCCAATTACACCTCTTGTCTTTATAAATTACCCAGTCTCAGGTATTTATTTATAGTAGAGCAAGAACTAATACAGTTCAGTAGCGTTACAAATTTATTCTTCAAAATGCCATATTTGCTCCATATAGCAGTATAAAAATAGAAAATAAAAGCATTTGGTATATCAATAATAAATAATATTTCCATGTATCAGAAATACAACAAACCCATTGGGGGTTGGTTCTAGGACTTGCTGGCCTTTATGTCTGAAAGGGAACAGGAGTTTCTTGAAACTAGGGAATTGAATGAAGCTCCCTTGGTTAAAAAACGAGTCTGGAAAGCTCCTTAGGGCTATCACTTCTGTGAAGTTTTGTGCCCAGGAAAGAAACACACAACCAAAATCTTAAGCAAGCCCCACACATTTGCAGATCATCAATACCTGCAATACCACACAGCGTATCGGGGAGAGAGGTAGTCGTGAGCCACCACTAGAAGTAGAAGTTGAGGGCTCTGAAAGGCCAGGTAGAAACAACCCCAAACCTGGAGACTGGCTGGAAAGGATGAAAGAGAAAAAAATGTCACCTAAGATGAGCTGAAGTACACAGTCTAAAACATGTGAAGAAGTCTAGTCTAAGAGAGACAGCCAACATTTGTGACAAATTCAGTTTATGTATAATTAAAATAACAGAATAAGGCTGGGTGCAGTGGCTCATGCCTATAATCCCAACACTTTGGGAGGCTGAGGTGGATGGATCACTTGCGGCCAGGAGTTCGGGACCAGCCCGGCCAACATTGCAAAGTCTATCTCGAATAAAAAAACATAAAAATTAGCCAGGCGTGCTGGCAGGTGCCTGTAATCCCAGCTACTCTGGAGGCTGAGGCAGGAGTATTGCTCGAACCCAGGAAGCGGAGGTTGCAGTGAGCCAAGATTGCACCACTACACTCCAGCCTGGGTGACAGAGTGAGACTCCGTCTCAAAAATAAATAAATAAATAAATAAATAAATAAATAGAAAATAATAAAATAATTGATTAAGATTTAAAAGAGGCTTTAAACACACGAGTTTAGGATCATCAGAGTGGTAAATAAAAGGAAAAGGACCAGGTGTAGTCGCTCACTCCTGTAATCCCAGTATTTTGGGAGGCAGAGAGGATGGAGGGTTGCTTGAGCCCAAGAGTTCAAGACCAGCTTGGGCATTTGAGTGAGAGCCCCATCTCTACTGGAAAAAAATAAAAGGAAAAGAATTAACCAAACAAAAATAGGCAGAAAGGACATAAGAACAGTAACATATAAAATAGAACTGCCTGGATATCATGTACGTAAAAAAATCTGGAAAGTGAAAAACAAAACACAATAGATTGGATCAACTCTAGGATGACATAGCTGAAGAAAAAAGGGCTCTGAACAATTGTATTAGAAATTCAGGCCAGACACAGTGGCTTATGCCTGTAATCCCAACACTTTGGGAGACTGAGTCAGGAGGATCACTTGAGCTGAGAAGTTCAGGACCAGTCTGGGCAACATAGTGAGACCCTCATCTCTATAAATATACATATACATACATACATACATACATAAAGAGAAAAAAGGATAAGGAGAAACAATATTCAAAGAAAGAACAACTGAAGTCTTTTCACAGTTAAAGAAATTCACAAATCCTTATAGTTAAAAATGCACAAAGAATAATGAAAAGGATAAATAGAAATAAATGCACATGTAGACACAAGATGGTAATATTGCAGAACAAGAGTAAGGACGAAAGTTTTAAAAATCACAGGAGAAGGTTGGGTGCAGTGGCTCACACCTGTAATCCCAGCACTTTAGGAGGCTGAAGCAGCCGGATCACTTGAGGCCAGGAGTTCAATACCAGCCTGGCCAACATGGCAAAACCCTGTCTCTACTAAAAATACAAAAATTAGCTGGGTGTGGTGGTGCATGCCTGTAATCACAGCTTGCATTAGTCTGTTCTCACACCGCAAATAAAGAAATACCTGAGACTGGGTAATTTATAAAGAAAAAAAGATTTGATGGACTTACAGTTTCACATGCCTGGAGAGGCCTCACAATCATGGTGGAAGGCAAAGGAGGACCAAAGTCACGTCTTACATGGCAGCAGGTGAGCGGGTGCAAGGGAACTCCCATTTATAAAACCATCAGATCTCATGAGACTTATTCAGTACCACGAGAACAGTACAGGGGAAACTGCCCTCATGATTCAATTATCTCCACCTGGCCCTGCCCTTGACACATGGGGATTATTACAATTCAAGGTGAGATTTGGTTGGGGACACATAGCCAAAACGTATCATACCTACTCGGGAGGCTGAGGCACCAGAATTGCTTGAACTCGGGAGGTGGAGGTTGCAGTGAGCCTAGATTGCACCACTGCACTCCAGCCTGGGCGACAGAGTGAGACTCTGTCTGAAACAAAACAAAACAAAAGAACAACAAAAAAAAACACAAAAGAGAAAGACAGAATTCTTGCTAACAGATCTGATTAGATGAACAACAGACTTCTCATGTGCAACAGACACCGCATCACAACAGAATAATATTTTTAAGGTGCTGACAGACAATACTGCAAACTTTGAATTCTAGACCTGAATGAACCAGGATTTAAAAATAAAGACCATATAAAGACTTTCAAAAATGCATTAGGAGAATTGAACAACTTAGGATCTTTAATGAAACAACCATTAACAGAGATCCAAGGATTGTGATAAAACAAAACAAAAACCCCAAGAGAAACTGATCTTCTTGAAATGCTGTTTTATTTAATTAACCATTGACACTATTTCCACACCCCCACACACAAACACAGCACAGACATCAAAATTCAAGGCAAGAATACCGAGGAAGAGGGTGGAGTAGGGATGGGAGTTCTTATGAGATTGGGTAGGAAAAGGTAGATAGAAATATTTAAGTATTTCTAGACCAGTGTTTCTCCAACTTTGGCTGCGTCACAATCACTTAGAACACACAGGTTGTGTGCCCACCCATAGAGTTTCTGATTCATTAGGTCTGGGGTGGGACCTGAGAATCTGCATTTCTAATAATTCCCAGGTGATGCTAAGGCTGCTGCTCTGGGGTCTATGCTTTGAGAACCACTCCTCCAGACTTTATTGGAAAAACTAAGCATGTAGGTAAAAAAAAAATCGAGTGATAATTAAAGGAATAGAAACTATGTATAGCTTTAAAACCCCAAAGGAAAAAAAAATGGACTATATATATGTGAACCTCAAATATCTGAGACAGGTCTCAATAAATTTAGAAAGTTTATTTTGCCAAGGTTAAGGACACGCATCTGTGACAACCTCAGGACATCCTGATGACATGTGCCCAAGGTGGTCGGGGCATGGCTTGGTTTTATACATTTTCAGGGAGACTTGAGACATCAATCAATATGTGTAAAGATGTTTTGGTCCAGAAAGGTGGGACAACTCCAAGTGGGGAGGGGGCTTCCAGGTCATGGGTAAATAATAAGTGACAAGTGGTTGCATTCTTTTGAGTTTCTGATTAGCCTTTCCAAAGGAAGCAATCAGATATGCATTTATCTCAGTGAGCAGAGGGATGACTTTGAGTTCTGTTTGACCTTTGTCTGTAAGGAATTTCCTTGTAGACAAATTGTGAAGGAGGTTATGTGACTTTTTAAATTTTAGTAGCTGTCTTTTTAGGAGTAGAATGGGAGGAAGCTTTGCCCTAAGCAGTTCCCAGCTTGACTTTTCCCTTTGGCTTATCCCAAGATTTATTTTCCTTTCACATATGTATATATTTATAAATGTTGTAAGTACAACAGAAGGCAAGAATGGAACAAACATAAGAGTGAGGAGGAGGAGGAGGAGGAGAAGAATGGTAAGTGCAAATTAAAATGGTAGCACTAAATCCACACACTGGGAGGTGATTTTTGCAACACATAAAACTGAAAAGAAATTGTATGCAGAATATATCAAGAATTCCTACAAACCTTTTAAGAAAAGACAAGACCTTGAGAAAATTTGCAAAGGATGTGATCAAACAATTCACAGAAGAGGAAACCAACATGGCAACAAAGTATATCCAAAATCCAAAAGCAAAGCATAGTCTCACCAGTAACCAGGGAAATACAGATTAAAGGCACGGATTTATACCCAGCAGAATGGTGGAAATTTAAAAGTCCCATAATTCCCAGCATGAGGTGGCATGTGGAAAAACAAGACAGAAGTCTCACATAGGAGCGGTGAGAGGCTATGCTGGTGCAACTTCTTCAAAAACAATTTTGACAATTTCTAGTAAAGATATGATCTTTGTATCATATCAAAGATGCACATTCTTTTTACGCTGGTGATCCAGCAGCTCCACTTAATGTGGAACACAGAGAGACTCTTGCATGTGAGTTCAGAGGCATGTGCTTAAATAAATGCTCTTGGGGGTTTCCTTGTGATAATTAAAAACTAGAAATTAACTAATCTTATTGCCAGAGAGTAGATTAGAATGTAGGATCTTTATATAATGGAATACTGTGAACGATTAACATGAATTGGTGGCTATATGGCTATAGATTCTGCCCATAGATTCTTTAATGTTCTATATCATAGAACATTATTTACCTCAAATACTTAGAATCAGCTTCAGTTAAAATTATAGTTGAAACTCTAAGCCACATGGTTCACTGATACTAACAAAAAACTTCAACGAGGTTATTAGCATAGTGTTTTTGAGAATCCCAAATACTGGGTTAGCCCTTATTCTTTGTTTAGATGAAAAAGATAATGCAGGAGGTTACAGAATATTTACATTCCAGTTGCCAGGATTATAAAATTTATCTATGCTTCTTTTGTCTTTAGTTATCATGAAATGATCTCTTATCTAAGACTATTTACTTGAAAGGGCAAAGAACTTTCCTGTCATGTATAAAAGTTTGTTTAGTAGAGATTACAAGAATGTTGACTTGTAAACTTGAGACAATGTATGTTTGCTTTAGGAAACTACATTTGTTAAAATATTTGTAATAGAGAATTTTGTGTGTGTGTGTGTTTTAGTTAAAAAAAAAACTTTGTTGGTCATTTTGTTCTTATTTCAATTAATATAATCAGTATATAAAAACTGTTCATTTAAATTAGAAAGGTGTAATTTAAGATGAAAATTTAAGAAGAAACTCGCTGTAAAAAGATTTTTCAAGTAAAATAAATTATTCTTAAAAACGATAAAAAATCTCATTTTCCAGTTACATGTATTAACATGATAAAACTTAAAAACAAAAAGTAGAGAGAAAAGCAAATTGTTGTACAGTAAGATGACACTTACTTAAACAATAAAATCATTCAAAAACAATTCTCTATTCTTTTATTGGAAATGGCAATGTCAAATAATTATAAATATTGCTTATGCATAAAATACCTGGGCGATAAATTATGAAAACATAGATGCTAGTGACTTCTGAGGAGAGACGGAGCAATATTGAGGCTTCAGTGATATTTGCTATGTCTACTTCTGAAAACAAATGATCTGATGAGAATATGGCAAAAATATCACCTGTTGAATATGGAGATGGGTACTTGGATATCTGGATTTTGAAAGGATAAACCATCACATGCATTCTTATTTGTATTATAGAAAATGAATAAATACATTTGTAAAAAAATGTATTATTTTCTCTTATATATATATAATTCTTATTAACAGTTCTACACAGCAGATCCTTCCCCATGCTCCACCAAAAATCAAGTCTTGTATATTCATACAGAATCTATGCAACCACACATAACT